GATTTGGACCTTTTATTTGGCTTAGAAGTTGGTGAGATTTCTCTTTTAATGAAGTTATTGGACATGATATGAAAATAAGTGAGCACAGTGCTCGTTAAATTAAATATCATATCTGAGTATTAGTTGTTATTAAGTATTAACCTGGTTAATACTAGGATTAGAGACTGTGAGTATATAATGAAATGCAGATCTATTTACGACTTAAGTCCGCAATAGGTACAATACGAACTGGTAATTGTCCGTCGAATAAAAATAAGTTGTTTCCTTATTTTTCGGGGTAAGATGTACCCGATGTACAGTACAGGATGATAATAACAGTATAATACACACTACAAAAGAGCAAGTCGAAGAATTCCTAAACCACGTGAAAAAATGTTACCACTTTCAAAGTTCGCTCGATAGACTATTCTGAACCGTTGTCCCCGACTCAGCTAACGCGATCAAGAAGTCTTGGTAGGGCGTAGAAAGTGTATTCTACAGGCAACTAGCGGATACCAGGTCAGGTCAGTCAGGCACATAAATCAAGCGTAATTATACAAATATTTGTAATACATATTGACATGGAAATCTTTTTAAACATTAATCAATAAGTTCGTCAATTAACCGCTATTTAAATATTTAAACATTTAATCGATAAGTTAATCCATAAGATGAAATTACAAAAGTGAGTTTCGGGGATCTATCGTCCCCAACTAAAACACTTTCGACCGAATATTAGTAACCTCCGAATAGTTTCTATTTTAATGACTGTTTTTCACATCGTTACAGTAGAGAGGATCAAACTCCTGCAAAGTAAACTCATACTTTAATTGACACAGGGATATTTCGCCCACTCCACAAGTGATGCAAGTTGGCAAAATCCAGTCGAGCTTTCTGAATCTGTGCCGAGATTTTGCCGGACACCGGGCCGTCAGGTTGAATAAGACTCCCAATATAATTGAAGTGGTCAGTGCGTTCAACTGTTGTGAACATAAAGACGGGTGGGGAAGACCAATACATTTCAGTACAAAATTACAGAATCTCCTTGTAAAACACGAGGACTAGACATTGAATACTTCCTTTGCAAAATTAAGTCATTTTGTCCCTCGCATTATGTATTATTCTTTCAATCCACAACTTCTTTTGTATTTCCGTTTCTGTTTTTTCTTCAACTTGATCTTCTTAGCCTTCCGCCGTCAGGATTGCTACTTCCTTTTGGTGCTACATATTAAATAAGTAGCATACATCGAACAACTATCTGACTTCCTATCACTAATTCAATCAATGACGCAAGCCAATATTAAAATAACATTTTTCAGTTTGTGACGGGGTACCACACACAAGCATGTTAGCGTTGTTTATTAAAGTGGTCAGAAGAGTGTATGTTGTCAGTGTCTTCACCAGTTTGGAAATTTTCTCAAGATTTAGTGACAGCCACTTATTATGCTCCTCCAGAGATGGCCAATACCAATATAGTTTATTCGAGTCTATCAATGAGTCAGTTGTAAATGTCATCACGTTAGACGATGTTTCCCATGTTTAAGGTTAGTGTTTTCTAAACATAACTGTTTATAGTTTCAGTAGACGGTCGCCACTGTCTGTTCGCTAGACCCAATCACAACAGAATTCGTTTAAGTCCCTTTCGGTTTGCTTTAGTTTACTTATATGAGTATTAAAACTACCCGCCACTAATAACGCACCAGGGCGTTTTACTTTCTGAGGGAGGTTGTATAGCTTCCTATGAAATTCATCTTCAACTTCGTCCGGGCTGCAGTCAACCTTGATGTGGAAAGAGAGGACGAAAAGGCCACAGTGTGTCCCTATCTTTTCAAGTTCTTGCTGTCTCGTCTGGTCGTAAAACACACAAGCGACGGTCTAATAGAATCCCGTTTAACAGAGCCTGTCCTGCTCTCGAACTTAATACTGTACCTACACCAGTGAGGCCACGGAAGGTAGCAGTGAGATCCCCAGATGCATGAAGAGTGAATCGTGCTGGTTCTTCACATTAACAAGGTAAGGTCAAGTTAATAACCGTACTTGGGTCCTGTATGTGCGTATCAGGGCCACAAAATACATTGATAAAGTCCTAGCTAAAGAATCACACTATCCTATTTAACAAGTTTTGGACATCAAAAGCTCCAATATATAGTTTC